CACCACCACCACCACCACCACCACCACCTCCATTCCCCGCTCCATTCCCCCCTCCATTCCTCCCTCCCTCCTCCACCCTCCTCTTCCCCTCCTCTGTCCTGGGAGAGGGAGGGGGCGAGGAAGGTGGTGGTGTGCATTTGGGGGGCCCGTGGTCTTGATCTGGCGGGTGGGCGCCAGGTCCACGGATCGGGAAGGTACCCCTCGACACAGGAAGCCAGTGCCACTCGATTTGGCGACGGAGCGCGGCGACTCCGTACGGCAGGCTTGCGTCGCGTCGGCCTCGGCGTCGGTTCCTGACACCGCGGGGATCGTTCAAACTTGAACGATCGGCCCTTCCGAGAAGGCCGGATCGGCCAAGAATGGGCCGATTCTGGGCCACGGGCGGCGTTCAGCCTTACACGCCCGCGCTGCGGGGTCGCCGCCGCTAATCCACGCGTCTCATAATCCATGGTTGAAGGGGCCCTGGGACACACAAACAAATACACACAAACAAAAGAGTCCCCATATTTTTCCATGTTTTATGGGCTTCTGTCTCCCACCCCGACTGCCCATACTTTCCCACACTCTTTGGGGAGTCGACGACTGATCGTGTCTGTGTGCCTCTTCCCCCTCCTGAAATGCTTGCGCCTCCTCGGGAGGGGGAGGCGGGGGCACCCCTCTGGCCCAGGCGCCTCGACCGCGACCGGGCTCTTCCCGGCCTGGGCCCCAGGAGCGGTCCGGGAGCGAGAGCCCCTCCCGAGCCCAGCCGGTCAAGGGGCCCACAGGGGCGCACAAAGAAATAGACACAAGTAACAAGATTCCCCATATTTTTCCATATTTTCCGGGTTTCCGTCTTCCCCCCCACTTCCCATATTCTCCCGCATTTTCCTGGGAATCGACGATTAATTGTGTCTGTGTGTCTTTTTCCCCTCCTGAGCCTTCCGCGGCAGCTTCGCGTCGTGTCGGCTTCGGAGCTGGCCTCTGACGGCGCGGGGGCCGTTCTCCACCTTGAACGGTCGGCCGTTTCTGCCACGCGAGGGGATCGCTCCACGCCGACCGATCCGGGCGGCGTTCAGCATTGAACGCCGGCGGCGGGGGGTCGCCGACGGTCGACGCGCGAACATGCCGCATCTGTTTCGGCCTCCTGACTGCACTGCCTGCGGGCCTTCGCGAGAGAGGTCGGAGCGGGGGGATCGAGCGCGCGAGCGACGAGAACGGGGGCGGAATGAGGGCTCGCGCTCGACGCGACGTCGACATTGCGCAGAAGCTCGCGTGGGCCGCCAGCGCCGCGCGCCGCGAGGAGAAGGAAGAGCTCTTCTGCGCGCCGCCGTGTGCGGGAAGCTTGCGCTCGCCTGCCTCTGCGCAGCCGGTGCGGCCCCCGCCACCTGTGGCCGCCGGACCGCGTGAGCCCCCGGCCGCTCCTGTGGCCTCGGCGGCGCTCCGGGCGCCTCACGGGCTCTCCGGCCGCATCCCCCCCTGCTGCTCCCGATCTTCTGCGCGGGCTCCTCCGGTCGGCCTTCGAGCTTCGAGCTTGGAAACCCTCGGCCCGCCGGGCCGCGCGGGGGCGGCGGCGGCGGCGGCGGGCGCCGGCCGCGCCGCCGCGCGCGGAGCGCCCTCCCGCGGCGAGTCCTCCTGCGGCCTCGGGTTGCGCCCTCGCCTTCGCCCGTGGCCGTGCGGCGCCCGCGCGCCCCCCCCCAGGGCGGGCGGCGCCTCTGCGTGCCCCCGACTCGGGCGCGCCCAGCTGCGTGCTGTGGGGGGCCTGGTTCGGGACCCCCTGCGCGCACCTCTCCCGCCTGGGGCGCCCCACCGCCTGGTCCTACTACCAGGTCGGGGGCGGGAGGTCGAACGCGTTCGCGAAGAGGAGGGCGGCCTGTCCCCCGACGGGGGCATGGGCCACCACCTCGCAGCCAGCTCGTCGTGGGCTGTCCGCCTTGAGGTGGCGGAGCAGCGCTGCCGCGGCGCCGAAAGCCTGCGCGGCTGACCCCGGCACTGGCGCACGAGCGGCAGCGCGCGGGCAACGTCACACGCCACGCGCTCGACGAGCGGTCCGGGGCCGCGAGAGCCCGAGCGCCCCTTCCCCGCCGTTTCCTCCTCGGTGGCCACCCTGTAGCGCCGAGGCTGGGCCGCTGTGCCCTTGGAGTTCTCCCTCCGCCGTCCCCCCTGTCTCCCTCTTCGTGTCCTCCTCCTCCTCCTCCTCCTCCTCCTCCTGATCGAGCTGGCTACAGCGGGAACCGCATGCACGCAAAACCACAAGACGTCATCGACGCGGCCAAGCGGGGACACACACTCGCGATTGTCCTTCACAGCCACCACGTCCTCCTGCTCCCCGACTGAAGAACGGGATCGTCCAGATCAGAAATCCATTGGGTGAAATCCTAGCCGCTCACCACGGAGGGCGACGGGGACGAACCACCAGGCCCACCAGGCGACCCACCCCAGTTCCAAGGTCCACCAGGGCCAGGGGCCAGGGTACTACAATGAACTCGACAATCCATGGGACACCCCTCCTAACGACCTCAAAGGAACGGAGAAAGACCACTCGGCTCGAGGGGGGGCCCTCGACAACGACGATGATGGTCCCCCCCACACACCAGGCTGCCACGAAAGCAATGGCCACGACGCGAACAACGACAGTCCACCCCCGCGCCCATGCTGGCACACGACGGCAAAGATCTACGAGGTGGAGGTCCACCAGGCCCCCACCGCAGGTACTCCACTGCGACCTCCACGGCACAACACTGATATCGGCCACACGCGAGGCAGCACGGACCCGACCGTCCACCCCGGCGCAGACAGCCACGCCTCGGGCCACATCTGCGCCAGCAGCGGCATCCACATGGGACAAGGTCTGTGATCTGTGCTTGGCAGGCGAAGAGCCGCGGACTGCGCCCGATGGGCCGGCGCCGTCGCCCCAACCCGCCGGGCTGGCCAGTGCTGCGGCGTTGCCGACCCCCCAACGCAGCGCTTCCTGCCACCAGGCACACACACCCGCCCCCACCAGGGAGCGGGGACCCGTGGCCTTCGTGACACCCACCAGGGTGGATGCGCCCGTCCGACCGCGCCGACCGGAGGAGCAGCCTCCCGCAACGCCTCGCTTCGGCCAGGCCGCAGCCACCACAAGACCGTGAAGCCGCGCCCACCGCTAGCATCACGGCACTTCCGCCACGCGCCTCCAGCCTCGCACGCACGCGGAGTAACATCCAGGAGCGGCCCAGACCCCTTCTCGACAAGCTCCAGAGAGCACATTCCGCACGGAAAGGCCTCCAATGGGCCTTCCACGCGCCTGCCTGCCCTGGGCCACTCTCCGAGAACGCCTCCCAGCGCGACTTGACCAGTACAAGTCACGTCCTTCCTTTCGCACGTCGTGCCCTGCGAGAGCTCCTGGCAACCAGCTCCGTTGTCCTGGCGCTGGGCTGCTGAACGGGGATGCCCCACGTTTGCGCCTTCATTTTACAAGGCTCAGAAGCGCGCGTTCGGGAGTGCAGACGGGGCGCGCCACACCCTGATCACCACAACCCGCCCGTTTCCCCAGTCGGAGTCCCCTGTTCGACCGCGCGAAAGGGAGGTTTTCGCCACCCATGCCAGTCACATGCGTCGCCTCCCGCCAGAATGAGAATGGCCCAGCCTGCGCCTTGTACCCAGCGGGCCTGGACAGACACCTGTCCGTATCGGTGCGCTCTCCCCCTCCCTCCTCCTCCTCCTCCCCCCTGCCTCTTCCCCGTCGTCATCGTCGTCGTCGTCGTCGCCGTCGTCATCGCCGTCGTTGTCTCTTTGTCGCACGCTGTGCTTGCCAAATGGAGGCGGCGCCGAGTTCGAGCACGACAGAGGCGCTCACGGATCAAACAAAGCGGTGCAATCAGCCGATCTACCAACAGCAGGTTACCAGTGGCTGTCGACCCAACCTTTTGCATGGATTTCAAGCCTCGTCAAAAACAAATTGAACCGCAAGTCAAAATCGAAGCGCCCAATAATTCTTGCGCTTGTCAGAGAACGCGCTCTTCGATGCTGTGGGGGCAGCGCCGGATTTCCGACACCCCTGCGTGTGGGCCAAACAGCGCCGACCGCGCAAGCGCCGAAAACAAAAACCGTCAACTTATTGTTTGACGAGTCTTTGGGGAAAATGCCGCTACTCCCCAGACCTCTCCCTGGGTGCGTTCTGACCAGAATTTCGAAGCGAATCCAGCGGTGGCGACGAGGGCCTCCCAGGAGGCCCAAAAAGGGGAAAACGAGCAAAGTATAGAGGTATGGGTACCTTTTCCTCCTCTGAGTCTTGTAGGTCGTTTTCTTTGGGCCCCCAGGCATGAAAAAGGCCCCTGGGGGGCGTTCAACCTCCCTCCAATTCAGCAGGGACCGACCGTCCCGGCCTTTCTATAGGCCGACCACGAAATAAATGTTCTTTAAACCCAAAAGTGTTCAAATAACGAACACAATGTTCTTAGAACATACGCCCGATGTGCTAAAACAAGACAGTCTCGGCCAGAGATGTTCTAAGAATATGTCGTGGAAGCCACAAAGAGTTCTTAGAACATTGTTTGGTAGGCCTATAGGCACGCCAGGACGCTTCGCCACTGCTTGATCCAAGGCCCCGCCTGGCCATCTCTCCGGCTTGCGCCCATCCGCGGCGACGGGAGGCGTCGGCGGAGGCCCAAAAATACCTGCGAGGAGGAGAAGGAGCAGGAGGATGAGGAGGGGGCGGCGACACGGTCCAAGTCGTCGAACGACTCTGCGATGGCGACGGCGGCGTTCATCGCGATGACTTTCGCACCAACCCTGTCCCCGCCGGCAGGGGGGGGGCGCGGTGGCACGAACCCCCCTCTCTTGAGGCACCCCGATTGCAGGTCCTCCCAGCGCTGCTCCAACTCCGCCTTGTCTCTTTCGTCGTCCTCCTCCTGGAACTTCGTGCTCCTTCTCGCCTGCGCCTTCGCCATTGTCCTCCTCTTCTTGCCACCTCCTCCTCCACCCCTCCTCCACCTCCACCTCCGCCTCCTCCTCCATCCTCCTCCTCCTCCTCCTCCTCATCATCATCATCATCATCATCATCATCATCATCAGCATCAGCATCAGCATCAGCATCAGCATCAGCCATCATCATCACTCAGCATCAGCATCAAGAATCAGCATCAGCATCAGCATCAGCATCAGGCATCATCATCATCATCATCATCATCATCATCATCATCATCATCATAATCATCACCATCATCACCATCATCACCATCATCATCACCATCATCACCATACCATCACCATCACCATCATCACCATCACCATCACCATCACCCATCACCATCACCATCACCATCACATCACCATCACCATCACCATCACCATCACCATCACCATCACCATCACCATCACCATCACCATCACCATCATCATCATCATCATCATCATCATCATCATCATCATCATCATCATCATCATCATCATCATCATCATCATCATCATCATCATCGCCTCCTACGCCTCCTTGTTGTCCTGCTCCTGGTCGTGGCGCAGAAATGTCGAAGTTCAGTTCGCGGGCGACGGACAGATGGCACGCCGCGACCGGCCCATCGCCCGAAGGCAGGTGACCGGCCGCGGGAAGCAGGCCCGTGGGCTGACTTTTGGAGGGGGCGGCCCGCTGCTGGCCCTCTGGGGCGGTGCTGCACGCTGTGCCGAGATGGCAACTAGCCCAGGAAAAGCACCTCGATGGCAGCGGAGCAGGGCCGTGGGCACCACAACGTATCTTTACAAGGAGCAATGGGCGACCGGACCAGAAATGCAACCGGCACTGAGGCGAGAGCACGATTCCCGAGTCAATAACACCAGCCCTCTGGGCTAAGGTGTTCCAAATATATTTCCCCTTCCAGAACCCTCTGCCCTTCGAGGAGGGGTCCCCCCCATGCCCGTCCATGAGCTTTTTCTTTGGAAGGGGCGCGAGTTGGCAGAGGGTTCTTTTTTGCCCAAGATGGCTCCAAGAGGGCCTCCGATGCTCCAAGATGGCCTCCAAGGTGGCTCAAGACAGCCGAAGATGGTTCGAGACAGCTTACATACCTCCAAGAGGCCCGACGAAAGCCGCAAGTCGGTTCCAAATGCTCACAGAGCCCCCATCAGGACCCGCATAAGAGGCCACAATCCTTCAAACATTATCATGTCGAGGGACCCAACCATATGCAACTGTGAGTACCGCGTTGTGGGTATCGCTCTCGGTGGAACCCCCTTATGGGGCCACGATACTCGTGAGGGGTGTGCCGGTGTGCCGAAATGGGCGGGGGGACGCATGTAAACCCTGCCGCTGGCGCCGCCGGGGCCTTCGGTGGAGCTCCCCATGGGGCCACGATCCTCGTGAGGGGTGTGCCGAATGGGCGGGGGGACGCATGCAAACCCTGCCGCCGGGGCCTTCGGTGGAGCTCCCTATGGGGCCGCGATCCTCGTGAGGGGTGTGCCGAACTGGGCGGGGGGACGCATGCAAATCCTGCCGCTGGGGCCTTCGGCGGAGCTCCCTATGAGGCCACGATCCTCGTGAGGGGTGTGCCGAAATGGGCGGGGGCAAACACTGCCGCTGGGGCCTTCGGTGGAGCTCCCTGTGGGGCCGCGATCCTCGTGAGGGGTGTGCCGACATGGGCGGGGGGACGCATGCATACCCTGCCGCTGGGGCCTTCGGTGGAGCTCCCCATGGGCCACGATCCTCGTGAGGGGTGTGCCGAAATGGGCGGGGGGACGCATGCAAACCCTGCCGCTGGCGCCGCTGGGGCCTTCGGTGGAGCTCCCCATAGGGCCACGATCCTCGTGAGGGGCGTGCCGACATGTGTGGGGGGACGCATGCAAACCCTGCCGCTGGGGCCTTCGGTGGAGCTCCATATGGGGCCGCGATCCTCGTGAGGGGTGTGCCGACATGTGCGGGGGAACGCATGCAAACCGACCGCTGGGGCCTTCGGTGGAGCTCCCTGTGGGGCCACGATCCTCGTGAGGGGTGTGCCGACATGTGCGGGGAGACGCATGCATGGGGGCAAACCCCCCATGGGACCGCGATCCTCGTGAAGGGTGTGCCGACATGGGGGGGACGCATGCAAACCCTGCCGCTGGGGCCTTCGGTGGAGCTCCCTATTACGGGGCCGCGATCCTCGTGAGGGGTGTGCCGAAATGGGCGGGGGGGCACAAACCCTGCCGCTGGGGCCTTCGGTGGAGCTCCCTATGGGGCCACGATCCTCGTGAAGGGTGTGCCGAACTGGACAGGGGGACGCACGCAAACCCTGCCGCTGAGGCCTTCGGTGGAGCTCCCTGCGGGGCCACGATCCTCGTGAGGGGTGTACAGAAATCAACGGGGGGGTGCACGCAAACCCTGCCGCAAGGGCCTTTGGTAGAACTTCCTATGGGGCCGCGATCCTCGTGAAGGGTGTGCCTAAAATGGGCGGGGGGACGCATGCAAATCCTGCCGCCGGGGCCTTCGGTGGAGCTCCCTATGGGGCCACGATCCTCGTGAGGGGTGTGCTAACATCGGCTGAGGAACGCAATGAGGAACGCATGCAAACCCTGCCGCAGGGGCCTTTGGTGGAGCTCCCTATGGGGCCACGATCCTCGTGAGGGGTGTGCCAACATCGGCTGAGGAACGCATGCGAACCCTGCCGCAGGGGCCTTCGGTTGAGCTCCCTGTGGGGCCGCGATCCTCGTGAGGGGTGTGCCGAAATGGACGGGGAGACGCATGCAAACCCTGCCGCTGGGGCTTTTGGTGGAGCACCCTATGGGCCACGAAACGTGTGAGAGGTGCGCCGAAATGGAGGTGAAACTGCATGCAAACCCTGCCGCTGGGGCCTTCGGTGGAGCTCCCTGTGGGGCCACGAAGCGCGTGAGGGGTGCGCCGAAATGAGCATGCGAGAGAGCAGACGCAGGAAAGGGAGGGGGAGGAGGAGGAGGAGCGCGGGAGGTGAGGTGAGGTGAGACGCGGGGCGCTGTCTCTCCAAAACGAAGACCCAACACCTTAGGATGGTTGGGAACATATGGGTTATCCCAGTGCGACCCTACCTAGAAGTTGGAGCATTTCGGAAAGCAACATCTACATCTACACCGACAGCTACATTTACATCTACACCTGCATCTACATATACATCAATATCAACAGCGATACTCCCATCTACATCTACATCTACACCTACATCTACGCCTACATCTACATCTACATATACATCTACATCCACATCTACACCTGCGCTATGATATGCTATGGTACGATGCGCTATGCTATGGTATGGTATGCTATGCTGCACTATGCTATGTTATGCTAGGCTATGGTATGACATGCTATGCTGCGCTATGCTGTGCTGTGCTATGCTATGCTATGATATGCTGCGCTATGCTATGCTATGCTATGCTATGCTATGGTATGTTATGATGTGCTATGCTATGACATGATATGCTATGCTGCGCTGTGCTATGCAAAGCAATGCTATACAATGCTATGATATGTTATGCTGCGCTTAACAATGATATGCAATGCTATGCTATGCTATGCTATGATATGCTTGGCTATGATATGCTATGCTATGCTGTGCTACTGCTGCGCTGCGCTATGCTGCGCTGCGCTAGGCTAAGCTAAGGTAAGCTAAGCTATGCTAAGCTAAGCTAAGCTAGGCTAGGCTAGGCTAAGCTAAGCTAAGCTAAGCTAAGCCAAGCCAAGCTCAGCCAAGCTAAGCTAAGCTAAGCTATGCTAAGCTAAGCTAAGCTTAGCTAAGCTAAGCTGGGTGAACCCAGGGGGCGCAACTGGGGAACCGCGGGGCGGATACTGAGGGAACCGCCCGGGCCGGTTCCCACTGCCCGGCCCCTTTAAGCCAAGAGAGTAAGAACCCTTCTAGGCAGAGCCTCGGTCGAGAACTTAGAACTGTTCCAAACTTCCAAATCCTGGCGATATTTTCTCAAATCCTTCAAACCTCCAAGTCTTGGGCATGGTTTCCAGACTTCCAGATCCTGGCACGCTCACACTCATACTTCGCCCGCTTCGCGATTCCACATGTTTCAGTATTGTTTCAAGTTTTGAACACAGCAAAGATTTCAACAGTTTGCCTCGTGCGACCAACACCGCGCCTTGCCTCCCTCCTCCCTCTTCCCTCCTCCCTCCTTCCTCCTCCTCTCCCTCCTCTCCCTCCTCCTCCCTCCTCCTCTTCCTCCTCTCCCTCCTCTCCCTCCTCCTCCTCCTCCTCCTCCTCCTCCTCCGGCGAGGGTGCCAGGGTTGCGCCTGGTGGTCCACTGTGCGCATCAAGAACGAGAGCGCCTCGTCGGCGTGCCGAGGTGTCGACGGGTGCCCGCCCGTGGGCGCCCCGGGGACGCCTCGTGCGCTGGGTACAGGTCAGCTCTTAATACATAGGATGTTTAAACATATAGGATCTTGAACACACATGATTAGTGTATGAAACCATCGGGGCTGGCTCGGCATCTGTCGCACATTGCTTTTGCTTTGCCTTTCCTTTGCTTTGCTGTTGCTTGTGCTTTGCCTTGCGTTGCGTGTGCTTTGCTTTGCTGTCGCTGCTGTTGCTTTGCCTTTGCTTTGCTGCTATGCTATGCTCTGCTATGCTCTGCTATGCTCTGCTATGCTATGCTATGCTATGCTGCGCTGTGCTATGCTGTGCTGCGCTGTGCTGCGCTATGCTATGTTATGCTATGCTATGCTATGCTGCGCTATGCTATGCTATGCTGGGCTATGCTATGATATGCTGTGCTGCGCTATGCTATGCTACGCTATGCTGTGCTCTGCTATGCTAAAGCTCAGCGAAGCTAAGATGAAGGTAAGCTAAACTAAGGTAAACCTGAGCTAAGATGAAGCTAAGCTAAGCTAAGATGAAATAAGCTAAGCTAAGATGAGATAAGCAACGCTAAGCTAAGGGGACGTAACTGGGGGAACCGCGGGGCGGATACCGGGGGAACCGCCCGGGGCGCTTTCCACTGCCCGGCCCCATTTAAGCCCAGAGAATAAGAACCCTTCTAGGCAGAGCGTAGGTAGGGAAAAAATACATGATTTTAACATTCCCGCCTTTTCGCTTCCGACGCGCTTTCGAAACCTCAGGAGGGCCCCAAGATGGCCCAAGAAGGCCCCAAGAGAGGTAGGTTCAAGAGGCCTCTAAGACGGCCCCGAGAACGCCCCAAGAGTGCCCCACGAGGGCCACAAGAGGCGATGTCGAGGGCTCTTAAAAGGGGGGGCTAGATAAAGAACCCCTCTCCCTTTCATCGATGGCCTCCAATATGGCCTCAAGAGGCCCTCCAGGGCTCCCAAGGGACCCCCCCCAAAGGGTCCAAGAAGGCTCCAAGAGGGCTCCAAAACTGCCCGAAGAGCGTCTTACGAGGGCACCAAAAGGCGGTATGCCTCCTCCTCCTCCTCCTCCTCCTCCTTCTCGTCCTCCTGTTCCTCCTCATGCTCCCCCTTCCTCCTCCTCCTCCTCCTCTTTCTCCTCCTCCTCCTCCTCCTTCTCCTCCTCCTCCTCCTCATGCTCTTCCTCCTGCTGCTGCTGCTGCTCCTCCTTCTCCTCCTCCGCCTCCTCTCAATCTCCTCCTCAATAACGTCCTCAATACCCTCCTCCTCCTCCTCCTCCTCCTCCTCCTCATTCCCCTCCTCAGCCTCCTCAACCTCCTCCTCCTCCTCCTCATCCTCTTTCCGCTCCTCTGACGGCAGTCCCCGTGGGAACCACCGCAATCCACGATCCACCACGCACGCACCGATCGAAGCGAGACCTGGACCCACTCCCCGATCCGAGGCTCCGAAACTCCTCAAAATTTCAGTGTCACACTGAAGCTCTCCCCTCCCGGCCACAACCCCACGTTGCCCCTGAGCCCAATCGACACGACGGGGACACAGCGGGGGCACCGCGGGGGTGGACCGAGGGAGGGGCGTCTTGAAGTGGGGTCCTTACCTCTCTGTAGCCCCTTCAGGGCTCTGACTCAACCAATCGATTGGGTGTCCAACGCATCGGCCTGACAAGGCAAGGATCTGTCTCCTCGCATAGGCGCCGCATGCGCTGCACCACACAATCCCTTCGTGGCCTCCTGACCACCAGAGCCGATGGGATCAATGCGCCTGAGCCAGCTTGAGGGGACCCCTGGACACGGGTTCGCCACGAGACGGGCCCGAGTCAAGCAACTTCGACCACAAGCTAAGCACCCCCGGCGTCCCCATGGGATCCGAGACCAGGATGAGCGGATCGAACGAGCGACGAAGCCGAGGGCACTCACCACCAGGGAAAAATCAGCGGCCGCCAGGTGGGCAAGAACTCTCCCCGTGCGGTAGGCAACACACCGAGCGGCCCACCACAGAATGGGTCTCTGCTCTTCAACTTCGGGGCTGTTAGGGTGACCACGTGCCCTAAGCTTCGCGAAACGACCCGCGAGCACGTTAGCCCTGAAATGAAACCACGGGATCACACTCGACTGGGCCTGAGGCCAGGAGGTATGTGCAGGGACCCCAAAAACCTGAATCGGACCACGGCCGATGTCCTGATCTTTTTTCAAGCACGGACCCAGACTTCATAGTATGGACGCGTGGCTTTGCAACAGACCGCGGCACCCGCGGCGAAGCCGTCGGCGACAGCCTTACAATCAGTGATGATGGTGACCTCCCCCACACAGTGTTGCAGGCACAAGATCAAAACCCAGACTTCAGCAAGGCCAATCTGCACTGCAGCGCCGTGGGAAGAGTGCCAAGCAAAACACCACACGACTCACCATGCGCATCTGTCCCCACGCACGCCCCGCCAACATGGCTGGCATGTATGAATTCAGGATTGAGGCATGAACCGTCAATGCCGATAATCTCTGACAGGGATCCTCCCTGCCACGAACCATCATTACGAATCACCCCAGCTGGAACGGCGGGGGCTGCAAACGCAACAGGGAGTCTGCAAGGCCTCGCAAGATGAGCGGATCATTGACCTCGCACTCTCTACCAGCACGCGTGACTTCGTCAAGGTCAAGTCCGTCCCGAATGGCCTTGGGAAAATCAGAACAAAAGAGGCGATGCTGAAGGGTCCCTGGCGCAGCCTTGCAGACAACCAACACACTCCGCCGAGCTCACCGAACGAGCCGCGAACAATCGATGCTGCTTCCAGAGACCCCCAACCACACGAGCAGCGAGCAACTGCGCCCCAGACATGTGGCCCTCTCGTCGAAGCTGAGCTTGGGCCTTGCGAACTGGCTCCAAGAGTGGGGCCCCTCCAAGAAGCTCCAGCCCTGGGGAGCCTGGGAGAGACTGAAGCAGCGCGCGCCACGTCCCGATGTCGACGAGCTGGCGCAGAGTGCCAGAGTAGACCCCCCGAAGATCCACCAGCCCTCTCCTCACTGCACCGACCTTGCAGACGTGCTGCAGCGGATTTGTGCGTGGATTTCCGTCTACGCAGAACCCCGAAACGGCGAGCGAAAAACGAAGTTAATTTCGCGTGGACTTCTGTTTAACCTTCAGCCCTGGCCAAGAAAAACCCACACGATGATCACCTCGAAATCCAGAGCGAAATTCTCCAGGACAATCCGGGCCCATCCACTCTGCGATGTTGGCGCCATGACACTCCCAGTCACCCAACGATCGAATCGCTCAGCGGTCCACCCCGACCTGACCCAAGCGTGGCCAAGACCGGCCGAGCACGGGCCTCGAGCCCTGCCGTTAGAGATAACTAGCCTGGGCCTGACGGAACGTGGTTTCCATCGTGGCAACAGTTGCCCAATTCCCGACGGCAGCGCGACACCGGAGCACCAACGGCAAGGCGTTAGCCGCATAGAGGTCGGCCCTGGAGTCCGCGCTCACAAGGAGTGGCAATGTACGCGACCTGCCTGCAGCCGTCCCCGCCACAGCCCTCAAAGAGGCCAGAGGGGCGTTAGAAATGCCAAGCGCTCGGGCCCCGTACAGGGCAGCTGGGCCTCCTCCTGTCTTCAAAATCTGAAAAGGGCCCTTCCTGCTGGAACTCAACAGTCGGAATCGTCGGACACGACGGCGCGCTTCTCCAACCCTCTCACGCTGAAACTTTCGAGACTGGCGGGCCCCCGCGGTAAAATCACCCCCAGGTTTTTTACTCCCCGATCTTCCTGAAACTTCCAACGGCGGAGGCGATGAACCAGGGCCCTGGCAAGGCCTAGCAAGGAAGCAACGATCTGATTCTTGCTCGAAGGTCTCGTCAAACCCTATACACCTTTTGGCCCGTGGGCGCGCGAAGACGAGTCGAACGCCGAGCGTGCTAGGGCGGGCCGCGCCCGCAGCGAAGAGAAAAACAGGGAAGCGAGCGGCGGCAGGCGGAAGGGAGGTGCAGCTCATGGGCCTTTTTTTTGGCCACCACCACCATGAGTTGGAGGGGGGAGGGGGTCCTCCTCCTCCCCCTCCTCTTCCTCTTCCTCCTCCTCCCCCCTCCTCCCCCCTCCAACTCATGGCCGTGGTGGGGAAAGACAGGCCCCTCAACAGCAGCACCGCCCAGCCTGCGAGCAGCTGCCGGAGAGCAGACCCCCTACGCGCGAGGCGCGAAGAATGGAGACGCAACCTCGGGCGGCACGGCTGCCAGACATGGTGCCCCCCGGCGCCTCGTCCCCCCGGAGGCCTCTTCCGCGTGCTCCTGCTTTCTACACCAGCACCCCTCATCGAAACGCTATTAGGGTTGGGTCGGGCATGTCTTCCTACAGGCGAATTTCAGCTGAAAAAAATTATCCCAGCGCGACCCTACCCAGGAGTTGGAGCCCCTAGGAAAGCAGCATTAGTAGTAACAGTAAAGCTAAGCTAAAGCTAAGCTAAAGCTATGCTAAAGCTAAGCTAAAGCTAAGCTAAAGCTAAGCTAAAGCTACGCTAAAGCTAAGCTAAATCTAAGCTAAATCTACGCTAAAGCTACGCTAAAGCTAAGCTAAAGCTAAGTTAAAGCTACGCTAAAGCTACGCTAAAGCTAAAGCTAAAGCTAAAGCTAAGCTAAAGCTAAGCTACAGCTAAGCTAAATATAAGCTAAAACTCAGCTAAAGCTAAGCTAAAGCTAATATAAAGCTAAAGCTAAAGCTAAAGCTCCCAGGGGACTGGGGACTGGGGGAACCGCTCCCAAGGGACCGGGGGAACCGCCCGGGCGGGTAGCACTGCCCGGCCCCCTTAAGCGAAGACAGTAAGAAACCTTCTAGGCAGAGCCTAGGAAGGGAAATACTCAAAACACATACTCAAAACGATCAAAAGTAGTCAAAAGTCGTCCCCATATTAATTTTGGAATACTCCTCCTGTAGAGGGACACGCCCGACTTAATATCGGGGAAAAGGTCTCATCAGATGATCTCCGGTGGGAGGAGGAGGTCTCCCGCGACCACACCTCGGCGAGTGACTCGCGACGGTGCTGCGTGCCTAGACGACCAGGCATGAAAAACCCGAGCCCAGACAGACCGGCCTCAGAGAACGATGGGCCACCGCCGCCCTCTTGCCACCCGCCGCTCAGGTCGGGGACGCTGGAGACAGTCAGGCAGGACTGCCCCCAAAAGTTCTGGGGGAGGGAGGAAGGGAGAAGATGAGGGGAGGAGGGAGGGGGAGGGATGAGGGGGGAGGAGGGAGGGGGAGGAGCATCTCGTCCTGTTGACGCCACGGGCTCTCCCCGATGGCATGCCGCAGAGAAAAAAGGTCAGCGCCACCCTGACGGGTACTCGGTGGACGGGGTGGGGGACGTCTCGGGCGCCGCGGCCTACGGATCTGCCCTCGTCCTAGCCCGAGGGACAACGACGGGGTGGGGACTGGAAAGGGGGGGAAACATCGACCTGAGATCAGCGATACCTTGCCGATAGATCGGCGACGGGCCGCCGATAGCGAAGCCGCACGTTCCTCGGCAGGGCGGGACCCTCGGGCCCCCTATCGACGATGACTGGGCGATGGGGGGTCGATGTGTACCCTCGCGTGCCTGTCCACCGCACCGTTGCCCCCGATGTGGAGCAGAGACCGACCGTCCCGGCACTCCTATAGGCCTACCACGAAATCTTCTTAGAACCCAAACATGTTCTAAGAGCAAAAACAGTGCTCTTAGACCAGAAGCCAGATGTGGAAAAACAGGACAGTCAGAGCAAGAAATGTTCTAAACACATTTCGTGCAGACCACAGAAGATCCTTAGAACTTTCTTGGGTAGGCCGATGTGCAAACCAGAACGCTTCGCCGCTGCTTGACGATGGCCCCGTCCGACACCCTCTCCCCGGCGTGCCCCGAGGAGTCAGGGACCACCACGACGCACTGCTCCCACAGGCCACGCGCCTGGCCGCTCGGGCGCGGGGCCCGCGCAGCGGGTGGCGCGCCGAGGAGGGACGGAGGGAGGAGGAGGAGGCGGAGGAGGAGGAGGAGCAGGAGGAGGAAGAGGAGGAGCAGCAGGAGCAGGAGGAGGAGGAGGAGAACGAGGAGGAGGAGGAGGAGAGGGAGGAGGAGCAGGAGGAGGCGGAGGGGGGGGCGAAACCGTCCGCAGTTCGAAGCGCGAGGCTCGCGGGCGCTCAGGCGGTCGGCGGCGCGCGCCCGGCCACCGCCGCGGATCGGGGCCCCGCCCTCCCCCCCTCCCCATTCCCCGCCCTCCCCTGCTTCCTCTTCCCTTCCCCCCCCCCCCCCCTCCCCCGCTCCCCCCTTCCCTTCCCCCCCTCCCCTTCCCCCTCCCCTTCACCCCCCCCCCCTCTATCCCCCCCCTCCCCCATCCTCCCCCCTCTCCCCTCCGCCGGCCCACCCCTGCCCCTCCCCCGCCCCCCCCTCTCCTCCCCCCTCTCTCCCCTGACTCTGTCCGGAAGATATTTGCCCCCCCTCCGCGCATGTTTTTGTTACGCACCGGATTCTGACGAATTTGTCTGTTTTGATTTTTTTCGAGGATCTCCTGACCCGGGTAAATCCAGACCCGGGTGAATCATACCTTGCAGAATCCTGCAAGGTCCTGCACCCAAGCCGGGGTCAATGCGGGGGACCATGCAAGATCCTGCAGGATCCTGTACCCAAGCCCGGGTCAATGCGACCCTGGCCCTGCAGGATCCTGCAAGATCCGGCGCTCTGGCTGACGCCTGTTTGCACTGACCCCCGTCTCAAGGCTCCCGATGTTTACCCATCCGTTTCTTTCCGTCCTTAGAAATGTTACTCCCGCTACAGCGCTGGCCTCATTTTTCGGGTTTCCGCTCGTTCCGAATCGTGTTCCCGTTGCAGCGCTGGCCTCATTTCCGCGCTCGCGCTCGTTCCGAATCGTACTCCCGCTGCAGCGCTGGCCTCATTTCTGCGCTTCTGCTGCTCGTTCCGAATCGCATTCCCGCTGCAGCGCTGGCCTCATTTCTAATGCCATGCCATGTCATGGCATGCAATGCAATGCTATGGTGTGTTCCGCTGTGCGATGCCATGCCTTCAACTGCAATGCTATGAGATGCAGTGCTTGATTACGCAGTGCCACGCCATGCTATGTCATGCTACGCGTTGACTTTCAAAGCCATGTTATGTCATGTGATGCTATGCCATGCTAAGACATCCGACTGCGCGAACAGCGAGGACATCTACGCCATGGTAAGGGATGGGAGGGAAGGGTAGGACGTCAGATAAGACGCTTGCGCACCTAGCTTGCCCCTCCCCCCTCCCCTCCGCCATCCCCCCTGTCCCCCCATCCCCGCCCCGCCATCCCCCCCCCCCCTCCCCCCTCCCTGCTCCCCTTCCTTTGGCGAGGGGCTCCACGCGAAGAGTTCTGAAGCGACTGTTGCCTCGTCGACCTCCTGCCCCGTCTGATCCAGGTCGATGGCTCTGGATGTCAAAATAGAGGCTCCTCCTTGGGGCGTTGATCAAACATCAACCCGCATAGATAGCAGCGTCAGCAACCTTCCTCCTCCTCCTCCTCCTCCTCCCACTCCTCCTCCTTCTGCACCTACCTCCTCCTCCTCCACCTCCTTCTCCACCTCCTCCACCCCTTGACTTTTTCCTCCTTCTCCTGCTCCTCTCCTCCTCCTCTCGCCGCCGCCTCCCCCTCCACCCCCTCCCCCTCCCCCGCCCCCTCCCCTCCTCCTCCCCCTCTCCTCCTCCTCCGCCACCTCCTCCCCTCCTCCTCTCCTACTCCTCCTCCTCCTCCTCCGCCTCCTCCTCACGTTCCCTAGCTCCTCTCCTCCTCCTCCTTCTTCCCCTGCTGGTCTGCAAGGTCGCCTGCTGTCCTGCTGGTCCTGCTGGTCCTGCTGGTCCTGCTCCTCCTGCGCCTCCTCCTCTTCCTCGTCCCCTCCTCTTCCTCCTCCTCCTCCTCTTCCTCCTCCTCCTCTTCCATCCCCTCCTCCACCTCCTCCTCCTCCACCTCCTCCTCTTCATCCTCCTCTCCCGCTCCCCTAGCCCTTTTTTCCCCCCAGGGCCTGGCCCAGTGACCTGTTGCCGACCGTCGTCGTAATCCCCGGTGCCTGCTTGAGGAGGCCGGCGAATTTTTTTCCATGATAAATAACGAGCCGGCGAATTAAAATTTGAGGATGTCTCGAGCGAAACGCTTGTTTTTGAAATCCCGATCGATAAATCACAGGGTGCGGGCCACTTTTTCGTGTGTTGAGGATGTCTCGAGCGAAACGCTTGCTCCGCAGAGTTTGCCGAGGATGTCTCGAGCGAAACGCTAGTTTTGCAGAGCCGACCGCGACGCGGAAAAGCGCCCCGCGCGAAGGAATTTCGATGATGTCTCGACTAATTCGTTTGTTTTTGTGCGATTTCCTGGAATTTTGGCAGGATGTCTCGAGCGAAATGCACGACCCCACCCTAGCACGACCATACCCCAGCACGACCACACCCCAGCACGACCAGACCCCAGCACGACCCCACCCCAGCACGACCCCACCCCAGCACGACCATACCCCAGCACGACCACACCCCAGCACGACCCGACCCCAACACGACCCTACCCCAGCAAGACCACACCCCAGCACGACCACACCCCAGCACGACCTCACCACAGCACGACCACGCCCCAGCACGACCACGCCCCAGCACGACCACGCCCCAGCACGACCCCGCCCCAGCACGACCCCACCCCAGCACGACCACGCCCCAGCACGACCACACCCCAGCACGACCACACCCCAGCACGACCACACCCCAGCACGACCCCACCCCAGCACGACCCCACCCTAGCACGACCACACCCCAGCACGACCACACCCCAGCACGACCACACCCCAGCACGACCACATCCCAGCACGACCACACCCCAGCACGACCCGATCGATAAATCACAGGGTGCGGAGCACCCCAGCACGAACCCACCCCAGCACGACCCCACCCCAGCACGACCCCACCCCAGCACGACCACGCCCCAGCATGACCACACCCCAGCACGACCACACCCCAGCACGACCACTCCCCAGCACGACCCCACCCCAGCACGACCCCACCCTAGCACGAACACACCCCAGCACGACCACACCCCAGCACGACCCCACCCCAGCACGATCACACCCCAGCACGACCCCACCCCAGCAAGACCACACCCCAGCACGACCGCACCCCAGCACGACCTTACCACAGCACGACCACACCCCAGCACGACCACGCCCCAGCACGACCACGCCCCATCACGACCACGCCCCAGCACGACCACGCCCCAGCACGACCACGCCCCAGCACGACCACCCCCCAGCACGACCACCCCCCCAGCACGACCACCCCCCAGCACGACCACACCCCAGCACGACCACACCCCAGCACGACCACTCCCCAGCACGACCACACCGCCTTGGTTGAGTGGTTGCCTGTCGTCGTGGAATGTTTCGTGGGGTGTCTCGTGGAATGTTTCGCGGGGTGTCTCGTGAAATGTTTCGTGAGGTGTCTCGTGGAATGTTTCGTGAGGTGTCTCGTGGGCTGTTTCGTGAGGTGTCTCGTGAGATGTTTCGTGAGGTGTTGCCCAGTTGGGTATCATGAAAACGTGTCCATGCTCCACATGTCTATATCCCTTTCCGGGTTCGTGGGTCCATCATGTTCCCGGAAAGGGCGCGGGCCCAGGGTTCTCTTTTAGCCGTTTACCCCCGGATCTGACGGGTCAAGCGCCGGCGAAATTATTTGCGATAAATAACGAGGTAAAGTGCTGATTTTCCCGGAAAGGGCTCCGGCCCAGGGTTCTCTTTTAGTAGGTAAACCTGTCCCCCGGTGCCAACTTGAGGGAGGCCGGCGAATTTTTTTTCCCGGAAAGGGCGGGGGCCCAGGGTTCTCTTTTAGTAGGTAAACCTGTCCCCCGGTGCCAACTTGAGGGAGGCCGGCGAATTTTTTCCCTGATAAATAACGAGGTCGAAGGAGGCCGGCGAATTAAAATTTGAGGATGTCTCGAGCGAAACGCTTGTTTTTGAAATACCGATCGATAAATCACAGGGTGCGGGCCACTTTTTCGTGTGTTGAGGATGTCTCGAGCGAAACGCTTGCTCCGCAGAGTTTGCCGAGGATGTCTCGAGCGAAACGCTTGTATTGCAGAGCCGACCGCGACGCGGAAAAGCGCCCCGCGCGAAGGAATTTCGATGATGTCTCGACTAATTCGTTTGTTTTTGTACGATTTCCTGGAATTTTGGCAGGATGTCTCGAGCGAAATGCACGACCCCACCCTAGCACGACCATACCCCAGCACGACCACACCCCAGCACGACCAGACCCAGCACGACCCCACCCCAGCACGATCCCACCCCAGCACGACCATACCCGCCCAGCATGAACCACACCCAGCACGACCCGACCCCAAGCACGTACCCTACCCCAGCAAGAC